TGCTGATCGCGACCCCATTGATTACGCTAGGTAAGCCGCCGCGATGAGCATTTAGGTTTTGGGGTTTGGAGTTCAGGTTGGGGGCATGTGTTCCGACTAATTCGAGAATGAAGTCTAAATCGCGCCTTCTCCAGAAAATCCCGGAACATGTAGCCCTTCCGGTAGTCCAGAATCCCTATACCACCTATACCTGTTTCAGGGAAGTTATGTGAGAAACCCAAAACAAGGAGCCCAGCAACAGGTTTTTTTGGCAGATGAGCCCTAGACTAGCACAGGAATGGACGCTCTGGCAGCCCAAGTCAGAGCAGGGGCTCCCTTTCACAATTTGGTGTCCCTGGGCTTTGGAATACCATACTTTAATACTTTTTTGGGGGATCTGTTCCTTAAAGGAGCCATTGTGAAATAAAAGTCCATACTTTTTTCTCCCCGGTTTGTTTCAAAGCCCAGGTCCTACGGCTCTGGCGTGACCTTGGGGCTCTTTGGCTTCTGGTGGATCGCAGTGGTGCAGCTCCCCGACTGCCCAAACTGGATTTAGGGGTTTAGGGTCCAGGGTTCAGGGTTTCGGGGTTTCGGGTTTAGGGTTTAGGGTTTAGGGTTTCGGGGTTTAGGGTTCCGGGTCTAGGGTCTAGGGTTTCGGGTTTCGGGTTTACGGTTTAGCTCGTCTGGGTTTCCATAACGTTGACACCATTACCAAAGAAAGGGGTAGCCCTAAACCCTAAACCCTAAACCCTATCCCCTAAACCCTAGCCTTTATAAAGTCCCCGGGCCGAAGCTCAGCAACCAGGTCCACTTGTCAGACTTCGGGAGGATGAGGGCATTAAGGTGTAGTCTGGCGTTCTGGGGCTTTTGGAGCTTTGGGGATGTTGGGTTAAGGTTCTACAGGTCCAGCTGGATCCTAAAGTGCAAGAAATCTTGTGCTGTGGGTTGGGCAAACGCATGTGCTACATCAGCGGCGGGACCATTCCTTCGGGCTCCGAGCACAATCAGTGAATCGTCTATCCACTGGGAAGCGGACAGTATTCAGTGAAGCATGAACCCCGGAAGTTTCAACGAATGAGGGGCCCCACCCTAAACTCTAAATCCTAAACCCTAGAATCTACACAACCGTCACAAGGGCCGAAGAATGATGCAGCCAATGGCCCCCACCACCTCCAGATGCCAGTCCCTAAACCATTAAGTCGAAGCCCGACAGCCTACCTTTGGTATCGTATAGCAAGGAACCCCAAAGCAATGTAGGTAACAATTCAGGCTCCTACATTACCCTCTACACCCGAAGCCCTAACCGTAGCACCGGCCCTCTTAGATGTGGAATGCCTGGCTTCGGTGTTGAGGGTTCAGTTCCACCGCTTGAGGCTTGCGGGTTGCAGCAACTGCTTCCTTATGAGTTAGTAGGATGTCTTTAGGGTTGTGTTTTAGGGCTTAGGGTTTAGGGTTTTCTATTAAATCGGGTTTCGGGCTTCCCGATGGGTCGGAGTCCAAGTGATCCAACTTCACAGAGGTGGGCTCCAAGGGTTCCGAGTCTTTCTGTCAAGGGGGATTGCGCCGTCGGCTGAAGTCAGCGTTGAAGCTGCAGGTGTAGCTAAAGACTATCATGCTGATGACTATGATTACGGTTGTTGTTTTTTTTTTTATATTGTCATTGTTGTAGAGTACTTGTGCCTTGTCTTGTATGGCCATTCCCAGAACGAACATATTGATGAGCGTGTACGTATTCAAGGCCCTCATCAAGCAAGATCAGCAAGCACATCCCGCGGATAAAACTGCAGGGTCTGAGCCCAAACAAGGCCTTGAAATAGAAAAAAGCCAAGCCCATCATCGGATAATGCTCTAATACCCAACCCCGGCAAGTGAGGCAGAGGAAACGGGATGAAGGTAAAGTTTTCGGCTTGGCCCCTGGAGTTTTATCCAGCCAGTAGGTGGGGCGCCGATTTCGGGTTTTTAATCGGCTGCGCGGCGGTTAAATTTTACCTGGTCTGGCGGCTCTTTAATCCGGCCGCGGGGCGGCTAAATTTAACCGGTCTGGGGGCTTGTAATCGGCCCACACACACACACACCCCACACACACACACACACACACACAAACCCCACACACATACAACACACACACACACACGCACACAGAAGGACAAAAATAATACACACACACACACAGAGACCGAAGCCGAGCATGCAGCAAGGTTTGTCATGCTTCTCGCCGGACGGTTCCCCATGTCAAAGGAAGGCCGATGGGGACTGGTGCAGTCTCTTGGTCACGAGAACCGGAGCAGGGTGAAGAGAGTTTCGCTCTTATGACGGGTTGAGGTCTGGGGATTTAGGCTCAAGGCTTCTGAAGGCTGAAGTGTTGCTTGGTGAATGTACACCCCTAGCACATGCCCAAGCCTCGGTTTTGTGGTCGTGTAATGCAGCACCTCGCGATCATATGTGCAGTTGCGTAGAATTGGACAACCAAGGTCATTGGCGCTGTACTTGGTGTGCGTTGCATCTATTTTCTTCGGAGCCGCAATAGGACATTGGGCATACAAAAGGAGTCTTGCAGCATCACTTGCATGGTGTGCTGTATCTGGCTTGCTTGCTTCTCTAAGCGGTGGGCTGAAGGTCTTTAAGTCGGCCTTTGGCCGCAGTTGACCCAGCTGCCGGCTTTCCAAACGACAAGATACTAAACGATCGTCAATGCCCGCTCCTCGCCCGACAGAGCGTCCGAGACGAGCATGATTCCAAGGCGATTGCAAATCTGAATACATCTACCGTGTCACAGCTCTGAAAAGGGCGTTTCTCGCTTGTACTCCTGCTTGTGCAGCAGCCCCATAAAGTCTTCGGTGCTTTGCTTGCGGCATGTTACATTAATTTTCCTGGGTTTACATAGGACATTGCGCAGAGAATACAAGGAGAGTTTTGCAACATCACTGATGTGGTGTGCTGCATCTGGAGTTGGGGTGAAGGTCTCGGTGCGTGTCCTTCGCATCAGTTGACCGCTGCCGGCTTTCGAAACGAATCGAGCAAAAGATCATCAATAAGATGGCTACCATAATCGGGATCTATAGTAAATATTATGGTTTCCTTACTATGGTAACTTAAAATTAAAGTGCTCATTCCTCCACCGACAGGTCGCTCGAGGCGAGCACGATTGAAACGAACCGTAGCTCTCAGTACATCACTTGTGCCATAGCCCTGAGAAGGGCGCACCTTTCTGCTGTGCAGAAGCCCCCTCCACACTAGCAATCGTCGGTTGGATCATTTCATGTGTTGTTCTAGGCAGATAAGGGTTCAGGGTGGAGAGTGTGAGGGGGTTTGCAGAAGGCCACATCGTTTCGACTCACTTCGCCATGGTTGGCTCTGAAACGCTTTCAATGCATTTCCAAACGGCGCCAGGAAGGCTTCTTTCTAGCTCTCGACGGCCGTGAGGGTCCAAATCACCCAAGAGTCAAGTACCAGAGTCCTAAACCCTAAACCCTAAACCCTAAACCCTAAACCCTATAAAAACCCTAAACCCTAAACCCTAAATCCTATATAAACCCTAAA